CCAGCTGCCGTTCCAGGAGAAGCGGCCCCAGGGGTTCCGCAGGCGCAGCAACCTGGAAGGGGAAGGGGAAAAGTGTCAGAGACCCAGGAGGGAGGGGAGACCCAGCCTGCCCCCCATAAAGGACACCCTGTGACTCCTGCCTTCCAAAGCTCTCACAGCATCCCAGAACTGATGTGTCACCCACGTCAGGTGTCCCTGTCCTGCAGCTCTGTTCCTGCTGCTGCTCCCTCTGCCCCTCCCTGCCCAAAGGGGCTGCTGAGAGTGACATGGCTGAAAATACAGCTTCCTATAGCAGCCCAGCTGTCAGGGTGGCACCCATTTCTATCCCCCCTCCATTCAAAGATGAGCAATACTCTGAGCACCTCACTGAAGTGAGAGCTCAACTCAGTCCTCTGTGTCTTGTGACACAGGTCAAACATTCCAGCCCTGGACATGGAGCCAGCACTAGGCAAGGACAGCTCATATGACAACAGCATTTATGTGACACCCTAGAATGGTGTCTTCCTTGCTGTTCATGAGGATGGGACACCAAAGAGTCCCTAGCGTCCTGTTCATCATGCCCTCAGCTATCCATCCCCAGGTTTCCTGCTGGGTCTGCAGGCAGGAGCAGCTGCAGTGGCATGGCAGGCTCCAGGCCGAGCTCACCTGAAGCCCTGGACATCCCTCACGTCCAGGATGGAATAGGCGTGCCGGGGCCGGAGCCCCATGCTCTCGTAGGCCACATCATCCACCTTCATGTTGCCCCCGCCGCAGGACGCGCCCATCAGGAACCTGCACGGGGACACCAAACCCTGGGGTCCTGCCAGGCCTGCCCTGGGGAACCTCATCCCTGCCACTCAAGGCATGGGACAGCTTCCTCCCAGGAGGCTCCTGGATGCTCCCACTCTGCAACAACACTGCTGGGATCAGCAACACTCCCCAGGCAGTGCCCAGCCTGCCCCAGAGCTCCCTCTCCTTGCCCACGTGCACACTGAGCCCAGGCTCCAAGGAGAGCTGCTTTGCACAGGGGAGCTTTGCCCCAGACCTCCCCTGATTTCTACCAGGCCCCAGGATCCTGCCCACTTCTGCTGGCTGGCAGAAAGCCAAAGAGAAAAGCAGGGAGTCCATCAGCTAGACAAGCTAGCAGGGGTAAGGACACTATTTGGGGCAGGAGTTCTCCAGCAGTCAGGTTTAGGGGGACACCATGTGCTGGGAGCTATCCATCCATGTGGCCCCATACTCCAGCTTTCAGCCAACCCAGCTGCCCTCCTGCCCAAGTGATGAGCAGGAGGTCTCTGCTTTGGCTGTGCCCCCTCCAGACCAGTGCTAGCCAGGTGTCATTAGCAAAGATGTCACATATGGGTGGGAGACATGGACAGGGTCAAGCATTCACAAAACAGAAAAGCTCAAAGCAAAGGGCTCAGTGCCACTTCCTAACTCCTGCAAGACAGCAGTGACGTGCAGTGGAAGTTCAACAGCTCTTAATTTCATATGAGAATCACAGGAGAAATAATTTCTTAAAGCTTTGAGTGGAAGCTCCACCAATGCTCCAGATGAGTGGCATGGGTGGTGGACTCCACCCCAGCTGATGCAGTGACCCCTCTCCTGAGCCTCTAAAGACAAGAATGTTCTCCCTCACCCCCTCTGCAGCATCCCTGCTCCTGCCCCACCTTACCCAGCCTCCTTGGAGCTGAGCATCTTGGCCCAGATGAGGTCGGTGTCGATGGGCTCCTCGCGGGGGTTGGTGGAGCTGACCTGCAGCATGAGGCTCTCGCAGGGCGCCCCGGTGAGCGTGGCCAGCCCCTCGATGGCGCGCCCGGCCTGCAGCGCGAAGTACGAACCGTGCAGCTTGGCCAGAGCCTTCTCTATGAGGGCCACCCACAGCTGCTTCCTCTGGGCCTGCAGACACAGGGAGGGACACGTCAGCCCTGGGCAGGGGGTGGGACAGCCCCTCCCAGCCATCCCTGCCAGCCATCCCGGCAGCACAAGGCCATGCCAGGAGCTGCTCCCCTTGGCCATGGGTGACCCATTCGCCCTTTGCTCATGGTTTTCTTTGCAGAGTTCAATTCCCCTTGGGAAGAAGTCCTGGAATGAACACCCAAGAGGCCTGGGTGCTGACAGAGCTGCACCCTGGGGTGCCCACCCTGAGACCCTTCTGTCAACTTCAACCTGAACTTAGAACCATTTAATAATGGAAGAAGACACCAAGGCCCCCAGAGCTCAAGGAGCATTTGGACAACACTGTCAGGCACAAGGTGGGATTGTTAGGGTGTCTGTGCAGGGCCAGGAGTTGGATTCATGATCCTTGTGGGTCCCTTCCCACGCAGGACATTTAGGATTCTGTGATATGGAGCACATCTGGAACAGCTGCCTTTAACCCACACACCTCTGCAAACCCAAACCAACACCCTTTGGCAGAGGAGGCTCCCCAAGCACACCCACCCAACTGATTGGATTCCACCCAGGCAAAACAGACACTGCTTCAAGGACAAGCTCCAAACACTTGGACTGGCAAAGTCCTCTACTCCAGCACAGGGAGTAACTACAAGCCCTAATTACAAGATGCAAGTTTTTTCCCAGCAAATGGGGTTTGGTATCCAGTGCTTGGAAAGCAGCAGGGAAAATCACTGGTACATTGTGCCTGTGTGACTCACAGGTGGCAGCCAAGAGCTGGCAGAGGAAAGGAGGGCAGTGAAGATTTCTTTCTGACGGATAAAGAGAGCTTAAAAGTGCTTTTTGCTGGTTTTTGGGTCCCTCACTCAACAAAATCCATGTTGTTTATTTCTGCCTGAACCACAGCCAGGGAGCTCAGATAAGAGCCTGATTTTCTTTTATTTTTAAAACTCTGATTTTCCTTTTATATCCCCCACATCCAGCTCCCACAGCTGAACACTCAGCAGAAAAATCTCATCACGATTCAGATGCTCCTGGAAACAGAGGCAAGGCAAGTCCAGCCCATGTGAAAACCTCCAATCTTAAAAAAAGCTCCAAAAGCAGACTTGAAATTCATGAAAGATGGAAGGAAAAGGTAAAAACCTTTTAGGGTTAGGGTAAATCTTATGCTGAAATAAAAAAATGCATTTGTATCCTCTGTCTACTGAGAGACAGAATGTAGACACAAACTCCTTCTTCTTCCCTTCTCTGAAGTTTGATTCCTGTCCTGACATGGCTGTGTGTCAAAACCCAGAGGACTGGATTTCCAGAAGGAAATCCAAGCCAGCAGCCCCAGTCCCTGTCTCCTCCTGACAGTGGTACTTGGTTTTCTTTGGCAGATTTTGCCCCCTGAGTTTCAATAGAGACGTTCTCAGTCTCCTTCATGGACATGATCCCAGCAAGAGCCCCTGGGCCTGGCAGGCAGGGCAGGGCACAGCAATGTCCTGGAGGGGCTGAGGGAGCTCCACTGACCCGAGCAGATGCCACCCCAGCGTGCTCAGAGCAACTGGGCACTGGCTTGGAACAGGCTGCTCCATGTGCCATCCCCTCCCTTCTCCACAGGCCCTCCCTGGCACAGCCAAGCTGCCAGACCTCCCCTCAGAGGAAAGAAACAGCTTTCCCTCATTCCCTCACAGTGCAAAACACAGGTTAAAGTGTTTTCCTTTTACATGAAGGATAAGGGTGGCTTTCCCTGCAAGTGAAGGGGCTGTGGTGCAAGGAGTGAGGGAAAAGCAACTGTAAATGAAATTTCTTCACTGCAGCCTGGGAAATGCCAAAAGGAGTCTAAATAGATGGATATTATGGCTTCAAAGAGTTCAGCTGTCTTGAGGACACAGTAAAGAGCAGTGTCCTGAGCTGCAAACAGGGTGCAACCAGTGCTGGATCTTCCATTTGTGTCACAGCATGCCCCAGCAGCTCCAGGCCTGGGGCAGCTGGGAAGTACCTGCTGGGAAAGGACCTGGGAGTGCTGGGAAGAATCCACTGGGAAAGGACCTGGGAGTGCTCCTTGGCAGCTGAACGTGAGTCAGGTGTGCCCAGGTGGGCAAGAAGGTCAGTGGCACCTGATATGACACTGAGGGGCTGGAGCGTGTCCAGAGAAGGGAACGGAGCTGGGAAAGGGGCTGGAGCACCGGGAGGGGCTGAGGGAGCTGGGAAGGGGCTCAGCCTGGAGAAAAGGAGGCTCAGGGAGGACCTTGTGGCTCTGCACAGCTCCTGACAGGAGGGGCCAGCCAGGTGGGGGTCGGGCTCTGCTCCCAGGGAACAGGGACAGGACAAGAGGAAACAGCCTCAAGTTGCATCAGGGGATGTTTAGATTGGATATTGGGAAAATTCCTTAATGAAAGGTGGTCAGGCATTGGAATGGACTGTCCAGGGCACTGGTGGAGTCACCATCCCTGGGAACATTCAAAAAACAAGTCCATGTGGTACTTTATGGCATAGTTTAGTGAGCAAGGGGTACTTGATCAGTGGTTGGACTTGATGATCTTTGGGGCCTTTTCCAACCTTAGTGTCTCTATGACTCTCAATGCAGCACAAAGCAGGGGCCTCACATGAACCCCAGCAGTGCCTCTTCCCACTGCCTGTCCTGGGAGTGCCTGGCATGAGCCTCCCTGAGCCCTGGAGCACTGCCCACCCCCGGCCCTGTTGCAGTGTGAGCTCATTCCCTATTTTACTTCCCAGTCCCTTCCCAGGTGTGGCAATACCTCTCTCCCTTCCCCCTTGCCCCCTTGCTGAGTGAGTTCTGTCAATCAGTTTTAGCATTCCAGCAAGGCCTTGTGTGGTTGGTCAAGTTCAAAGGATGCCCTTCAGGCCTGGGGTCATTGGCCTGTCTACGTGTCCCTTGTCCCCTGAGACCCTCATCCTCCCACCTGGTTGGTGCTCACCTGTCCCTTCCCTCCCCCTGTCCCTGGGCTTAAATTGAGCCAGAACCATGTGCTCGCCATTCTGTTGGAGCTGTTACCAAGATTCAGACATCTGGGACCATGGAATAAACTCTGGATATTAACCCTCCGGCAGAATCCGTCTCCTTTTCCTCTTCACCATCACCTGAAGCCCTTCCACCTGAGGTAAACTGAGTTTCTACAAGCCTGGGTTTGTTTCAGTGCCCAGCTGCAACACCCAGCCAGCCAAAGGTGTCTCTGAGGTGAAACACCACAGCTGCCGCCTTTGGCCCAGCAGCAAGGGTCAGACGAGCCCAGGCACAATCTACCTGGTAATATTGGGATCTTACTGCAATCCGTCCCCGTGGCACTGACCTGGGAGAAGAGCAGGTAGCCGCACTC